TTTTGTATTTTCTGAGGGTGGCGAAGGTTTCGGCTAGGTCCGTGACATGATCTTTTTCTTTTATGCTTTTGACGATTGAGTCGTCAACATAAACCTCCATGTTTCGGCCTTTTTGCTCGGCGAAAACCTGATCAACCAACCTCTGATATGTTGCCCCCGCATTTTTCAATCCGAAGGGCATCATTCTGTAATTGTACAACCCGGAACTTGTTATGAACGCTGTTTTAGCTCGGTCCTCGGGGTGCATGAAGATCTGATGGTATCCCGAGAATGCGTCCATGAAACTGAGCAGAGCATGCCCGCTTGTCGAGTCGACCAGTTGGTCGATCCTCGGCAGCGGATAGGAGTCCTTGGGACATGCCCTATTCAGGTCCGTGAAGTCAACGCACATCCTCCAGTTACCATTTGCCTTCTGAACCATTACAACATTGGCCAGCCACTCCGGATACTGACAGGGTTCAATGAACCCAGCATCTAGGAGCTTATCGACCTCAGCTGCGATGTTCTGGTTCTTTTCGGCGGAGTAGTTCCGCTTTTTCTGCTTAATGGGTCGACTGGAGGGGTCGACATTAAGCCTATGGGAGACGAAGTCCGGATCAATCCCGGGCATTTCTGCGGCTGAGAAGGCGAACACGTCTCCACTGGCCCGTAGGAGTTGGACGAGTGCCGCACGGGTGTTTGGCTCCAGTGACGACCCGACGCTAACACATCTGTTCGGATCTCCTACGGTCAGTTCTATTGACTCGGTCAGGTCATCCGTTTCCATGCTCTTAGAGTTGGATTCCTCGAATTCCGGCCTGCTATCAATATTAGCAGACTTTCCTGACCGCGGCTGGCCATCAGAGTCGTTCGGCTCTGAGGCGGAGTCAGCCTTTTGGCCCCCATCAGATTTCTCGTTGTCTGGGGCTTCATTAACCGAAACGTCTGAGCCTCTCGGCTTTTTGGCGTTTCGGTCCCGGTGCTTTTCCTCCCCATCGCCACGGTCGCCTCGGCGAGACGTGGATGGCTTGAGGTGATTGCATCGGCGGGCTTCTTTTTGACTGCCCTTTATTTTCTCGGAGCGTCCCTCGTCTGAAACGTATATCATGATTTGATGATACGTGGAGACGACTCCTTGAATGCCGTGAATGAGGGGTCTCCCCATGATCACGTTGTATGCAGATGGAGCATCTACGACCAAAAATTCGGCCATGATATTCCTAGCTGCTCGGCCTTCGCCGATGGTGACAGGAAGTGTAATCTTCCCGTCAGGATACGAGGAAGAGCCGTTGAATCCAGACACCGGGTAGGGTGCGGGGGCCAGGTGCTCGGCTCCCATCCTCAGCTGGTCGAACGCTCCTCGGAAGAGGATGTTCGCCCCGCTACCGCCGTCGACGAGGGTCCGCCAGACGTTGCGGTTGGCGATGCCCAGAATGATTACTAGTGGGTCATCGTGGGGGTATACCACCCCCTCACAGTCTTCGGCTGTGAACAGGATGTTCGGCGCCGGTGACTGGGACTGCCGAAGCTCAGCCTGATGAATCTGATGGGTTAGACCCCTCAGTTGGCGTTTGGCTGTGCCTCGCGAGATTCCCCCGGAAATAACCAGGATGTCGAGGGACTCCTTGCCCTGAGGTCCCTTATCCTTCTTCCGAGCGAAGTTGAGGTCCTGCCGAGAATCTTTTTCAGCTTTTTTCTCCTCGCGCCTGTCCGCGAGGTATTGGCTCAGGTACCCCTTGCGGACCAGATCCTCAATCTGGTCCTTCAGCTGGACGCAGTCCTCGGTGCGATGTCCGGGTGAGTCATGGAACTCGCACCACTGGTCCTTTCCCCTCGTCTGATGCCAGGGAGGCAACGGACGAGGTTTTTTGAATCTCCCCTCGTCCTTCGTCGTGCTGAAAATCTTAGCACGGGGAAGGGAGAGTGGAGTGTATGAATCGTACCTTCCCGTGTAGGGAAAGTGTCTTTCCTTCTTCGGCTCGGCAGCAGAGGACGGTTCTGAGGCCTTAGCCTTCCCTTTCCTCTGCGCCGAGACTTCGGGCTGCTGCCCTTTCGGCTTCTCAATTCTCGGACGAGACTGAGACCTGGATCTGTTCCACTCCTCGGCTCGGATGAACCTATCCGATGCTTCCAAGGCTTCCTCCAGGGTCTGCGGGGGATGCATGACCATGAAGTCCAGGAACTTTCCAGCTTGGAGGCCGTTCCGTAGCGCGAACACGGCCAGGCCTTGATCCAGGCTTGTGATTCCGGATGACTCGTTGCTGAAGCGAGTCAGATAGTCGCGGAGGCTCTCGTCCTCCGCCTGCTGCAGACTCATTAGCTCTGCAGTGGTATTCTCTCGGCGGTTGGCCGTAGAGAATTTGCTCTTGAACTTGTTGGAGAGGTCGTTCCAACCGGTTATGGAGCCTTCCTTGAGCCCTTTGGTGATCCAGGATTGGGCAACACCTTTGAGGGTCGTAGGAAAGTATTTACACCAGGTAGCCTCAGACCTCGGGTTCAGATACATGTGCCCCTCGTAAGAGGCAATGTGATCCTTAGGATCTGAGGTACCATCGTAAGTAATATGTGCCGGGATTTTGACCGTTGGCACATGCTCTTCCAGAATCCACTTCTGGAAGGGCGAGTTCGATGGAACCATGACCGCCTTCCCCTTGTACCCGGCCTCAGGGACCTCGCTCCCTCCTCTCTCAGAGGTGGAAGTGGTTTTCGTCCCCGGCTGAGACAAGGTTGGGTGGGGTCCGGTATCCTCTGGGAAGGTGAGGCGGCTATGCACACTCACCTCCCTCGAACCCAAGCGTTCGTGAACGCTTTGGCGGGCGAATTCCGGGTCCTTGGAGGGCCCCATGGAATTCTGAGCTTCAGAGTGGTCAGAGGGTTGAGGGTTCCTCCTCCTCTCCTTACTGGAGTTTCGGGTGTCCCCTCGCCACCTCTGGCCGAGCTCTCTATGTGGTGGAACTTGTCCACCATCATCCTGACCGATCCTCCTTTTCAGGTTTCTCGGCTGGTGATCATCAGGCATCTGGATTGGAGCCCCTTGAGCTTTAAGGAACTCCATGCAGATGGCCACTGCTCTGGCCACTTCCTCGGTGGAGGGTCCGGAGGGAGGAGTCTCCCGCGGATGTGACCTGGATTGCACGCTATGGCGCGGCGGGGAGTTCCTCGCACCTGAGCCACTCGGTCTCGGGGATGGCCCCGGCTGCCGAGTGTGGTGCGAGGTGTTCTCCTCCTGGAGGCTAGGACCTCTTGAGGCTTCCCTTTCCGGAGAAATGGGGGCCTCCGATTCGGAAGAGGCTTGCTCCGGGGAGGGATAAACCGGCTGGCGTTCCCTCACCGTAATCCGGCCTCCTCCCTTCTTAGCCTTCTTGGAACTCTTTCCACTCTTAGTCATGGCGACTGCCGGAGTGTTTGATGACTGACGCGAAATTTAGTAGCGTTCCCCACAGACGGCGCCAAATTGTTTCGGATGAAAACAATCGAATCTCGGAAGATCCTTTTATCTTGAGGGAACTTGGTCTCGGTCCGAACGACGCAGGAGCCGAGGGTTTCCTGCACAACAAATACACGTAAACTAGCCTCGGGGGGGACGCCGAGGAAGGCCCCTCCGATGCTTAAGTCAGTATATTAGAGAGAGAAAGCTGTGCAAGAGTTTAGTTGCTTGAGGCTTTTTTGTCTTACCAAGAATTGACCAAATTGTTGGCTTTTATACCTTGGCTAATGAAGGAGGCGGATTGGGCCCGGAAGTCAGTTGGGCTGGGCCAAGCTGATTGGGCCGTTGACTGACCTTGACATGGCTTTGAGGATGTTGATTTTTGACTTTAGCACATTTGGAGAGTTGAACCTTAACCTTGGGCTTTTAATTGGATCATTCAGTGACCAGGCCCAATTGGACTAAATTGGACCCAAACACCACGTATATAAGAGTAATTCTCACCAGATAAACTTGATTAAAATATTGGAACACACACTCTCCTCGAATTTTTGTTTGGGAGTTAGGATTACTCCTTACCTTCTTCGATCTCCAACTCTCAAGCACTGATGATCAGTGAACTTACACAAAGTACTTTGTGAAAGGTGTTTGTTCAATCAGTACATATGATCTTTGTTCATAAAAAATGGGAGAAAAAAAACATAGGGCCGTGAAATATATTTTTTCTTTTCTTTTAGGAGTATTTCTACACCGTTTCTTTCGATCTTTTGATAATTTATACTCTCAAAATAAAACTACGTAGAAACTTCTTGTCGACCAGTCATGCATACTTGTAACTTTCACTCAACAACACGTGTGATTTGTTAATATTCATTGCATAATACAAAAAAAGTATTATATGCAATGAACTCATAAGAATAATCTACTTAAAGGATTTTTAAGTGACAATATTACATACATCAAACATTACTTACACTAATCAGCTCATATTGTCATACAATTATATTTACAACCCTTAAAACTGCAAATTAATATCATAACCGTTATTTATTGCAGTCCTTTTATTTATTATATTAATGAAAGATCGATGTCTTGTTAACAATATACATCGGTGTGATTGATGTTATTTGTCTTTATTGAGAATGAAGGCTTATCAAGAATTACCTCACCTTATTTTGATTAATAGTTTGTTTAAAAATATATATGAGCATGTATGGGTCATCAAATTAATTACTATGCATAAGAGTATCATAAAACGATGTGAAATAATATAGAGAATCAGAGATTAATCACCGAAAAATACTTAAATTAGCTTAGGGTTCGTCTGGTATCGCTGTGATTTTCTATTTTTTGGTTTTCAAAATCCTATGATATAAGTTATATTTTGAATGTAAAATAAGTTAAACTTATTAAAATTATGATAATTTTGAAAATTGACAATAAAAAAGATATAAACACCTTTTCCCGGTTTTTTTTTTTTTCAAAAAATCAAATCAAAAACAAAAAATGTCCAAACAAGCTAATTAGGCTAAGTAGCGTACTGATATGTGGTCCTAAAGATTCTAATTAAAATGTATGAAAATGTAATTGTCAGGTGAAAAGTCCATGATAAGGAAACGTCACATTTTCTTGACTGAGGAGATTTTGAAGGAGAATCCAAGCATGTTAACTTATGGAGAAGTATCACACGATGCTCGTCGTGAAATGACTATCGACTACCTTCCGAAGCTCGGTAAGGAAGCTGCGCTTAAGGCCATCAAAGAATGGGGGCAACCTAAGTCCAAGATCACCCACCTTATCGTGTACAACACGTTGGCTCTATCCATGCCCGGAGCTGACTATGAGCTAGCTAAGGCCCTCGAACTAGACCCCTCGGTACATAGGACTGTCATGTACCTTGTAGGTTGTCATGCAGGGCCCCATATCCTCCGCCATGCCAAAGACATAGCGGAGAATAATAAAGGGGCCCGTATACTGATAGTGTGTGCTGAGATCACAGCTGTTAATTTTCATGGCCCTTCTGAAACCCAAATTGACTCTTTAATAGGGCAAGCACTTTTTGGTGATGGTGCGGCTGCCATCATTGTAGGAGCCGAGCTAGATTACTCTATCGAAAGGCCGTGTTTCCAACTCATTTCGGGCACACAAAGGACTATACCTAACACAAATGGTGCGGCCTACTCCGAGATCATTAACATGGGACAAACGTTCCACCTACGTAAGGACCTCCCTTGTTTGATCTCGGACTACATTGAGGAAAGTCTTGTCAATATTTTTAAGCCTATTGGTATCAATGATTGGAACTCGATTTTTTGGATCGCGCACAATGGTGGTCCAGCCGTGCTTAATAGCATTGAGTCCGAGCTTAAACTCGATAAAGAAAAGCTCAAAGTCACAAGACATGTACTAAGTGAGTATGGTAACATGTCTAGTGTTGGTGTGCTATTTATGATGGATGAAATGAGAAAGAAGTCACTCCAAGATGGAAAATCGACAACCGGGTTAGGGTGTGAATGGGGTGTTATGTTCGGGTTTGGTCCCGGACTCACCATTGAAGCCCTTGCTCTAAGGAGTGTTCCCTTGCTCGATTAAGTATACTATAGCTCAATCAACAATAATGTTAACCTTTGCTAAGTGATTTCAAGTGTTTTTATTATGTTTGGGATTTTGTATTCGATAATAATACTTCTCTGTGTTTTTTAGTCTTCCATTACTGAATTGTCTCCTCATCTTGCAAAAACCCTTCCTTAAGTGCATCCTGTTTACGCTTCCTTGAAGCGTAACCATAACAGTCACAAGTCCACTTAGCATTCCTTCTCTACTTACAACACTTCTCCTTTCCAATTCCTTCTTCACATCCACCCACCCAGAAGCAGCCCTCACTATATCAAAACCCTTTTGCCTAGCATAACTTCATAAATAGGTATCCAACTCATCCCAACTCCCAAATACCATGCCCAAAGTTGGGGGTGATACTTCCTCTTCCACACCAAACATAATGTTCACCATTACCATGTTCTTCTTTGGGGTTATGAATGAGGAACCTTCTGCACCAGCCCCATCAAATTCCCCTTCAACACCAGGCTCAACTTCATCTTCCTCATAATCTGCCCCCTTATCCTCAACCTCTACACCTTCCCCTTCTTCATCCTCCTGCTCATCTCCTTCTCTTAATCCATCATCACTCTCTAATCCCTCCTCATAAACAGATACATCATCCTTGCCACCATCTTCATATCCATCACCAACATCCACCTATTCACATATACAACCATGACTCATTCTAAATAAAGCATTACAACAAACAACCAATAACCTAGTCATACACAAAAACACACCAAACCCAACAAGCTATATCATCACATAATTCATAACAAAACAAACCAACCACTACAACTTCGCATGCAAACCCACAATCCCATCACTGTCAAGGAAAAAACACAAACTCAATACTTTTTTTTTCCTTCTTTGACAGCAACTGGTTCGAAAAAACACAAGCCTTTTTTTTTTTTATAATTTTTCACACCAACAAGTTCTAAAATAAATTAATTACACTCATAGAATTAGGAGATACTCATCCTTTAGTCCATTCCCAACCTAAAACCAACACATTCCCAAAAATTATAATACATAAAACAAATTTCATCAACTCAAGTACAATACCCATTTTATCAAATAACAATGAACAATCAACATTCATATCAAAGATTTACTCAATTAAACATTACCAATTAGCCATATAATTAATTACTCAATTACATGGATTGAAGTTCAAATGAAAATTACAACAAACGGTCCTAACCCTAATATCTTCATCATCTAATTAAAAGACTCTACATTTCATAATTACCCACGTCAAATACTCATTTATAACTCTTAATTTCAAAAAACAACACTAACAAAGGTTAATACTTACATTCTCAGCGTCAAATCGCAATTCCCTTGCGCATCCATGGCCGACTTCGCCATCTTCCACCAATGCTTTGGCTAGATCGACATCCAAAATGTCGAATCCTGATTTCTCATCCTGATAATCTACTTTACCACAAATTATTTGCAATTTGGTCTTTAGAATTCAAGAATTTGAGAACAATGATGTCTCCATTGTTCATGAGCTTCCATTCCCCATTTTTTTTTTTTTTTTTTTTTTTGTTTTTCTACCACTTATTGGCAAAAGTGAGTACATTTCAATTCCCGCTTCTTTTTTTCTTTTTTTCTTCCCCCGTTTTACTTTCACTGTACCGTTACAAGTGTGGTCCACTTTCCTTCACCAAACTTCATTTTAATTTCACAATTGTCATCCTATACATTTCTAAACCCATAGTAACTATGCGCCTATAGTTATCCATTATTAACTAAACTAAACCAAATCATACGCACGACAAACTTTTCCAATGCTTTAATGTTACTCTTTTTTCCCTAACCGTTGTTCCCATTGCTTTTTTTTTTTTTGAAAGAATTGCTTTTTGACTTATTATCTAATTCTTATTTTACTAAATAATTACACCATTTGTTTTTTATTTTTGTTTTTTTATTTATTTATTTTTTAATAATCCTTGAGGAAGTTCTTTATCCTCAAATATCTTTAAATGTGCATTATTGATTATTATTTTTAAAATTTGAATATATATATAAAGTAAGCATTTTTGGAGAGCATTCAGAGCGCCACGTATGAAATATACTTCTTTCGAATAATAAGAAGAAAGATTTGTATTTTATTTTTGAATTAAAAAATTATGTCGCCACCTAGATAAAAGTAACGAACTAGATTTGATATATCTAAAATTTTAATGCCACATAGATTATAATCCACGAATTAAATTATTTTAATGAAAAAAATAAAGTAAAAATATAGGAAAAGATAAATTTATTAATTCAATACTACGAGTATAAGAAATCCAAAAAAAAAAATATACTAAAAAAATATTTAAATAATAAACGCTTATAATAAAGTTTGATACCTATCATTATAAGATAAATTTTGTTAGTATCTATGATAAGAAATACAAATTGTTCGTTAATCATAACTAAATTAAAATTTGTGATACCTACCATTATAAATTGACACATCATATGACACAAACAAATTTTGTATCAATAAAAAAAACCCCATCAAGCGAATTTTGTGTTAGTAATTTTGTGTTAATTTTTGGTCATCAATGGCCGGGTAATTTTTAGCTTAATTTTTAAAATCCTATGTTTAAATTATTATTTCTAATTATTACTTACATTGTATTAATTTGGGATACTCAACGATTATATGTTTATGTTTTATTAACTAAATGTTTTTTTACATGCAGATCTGACACATCATACGCCACAAATAAAATTTCATATCAATACAAAACCCCATCAAGCGAATTTTGTGTTAGTAATTTTGTGTTAGTTTTAGGTCATCAATGTCCGGGTAATTTTTAGCTTAATTTTTAAAATCCTATGTTTAAATTATTATTTCTAATTATTACTTACATTGTATTAATTTGGGATACTCAACGATTATATGTTTATGTTTTATTAACTAAATGTTTTTTTACATGCAGATCTGACACATCATACGACACAAATAAAATTTCATATCAATACAAAACCCCATCAAGCGAATTTTGTGTTAGTAATTTTGTGTTAGTTTTAGGTCATCAATGTCCGGGTAATTTTTAAAATCTTATGTTTAAATTTAAATTTGTAATTATTAGTTACATTGTATTTATTTAAGATACTTAACGACTATTTGTTTAAGTAATGGCATACGATTAGATGTTGTATACTTAATATATGGATGACTTTGATTAGTTTTGGAGATGATGAAAAAAATCCAATGCATAGATTTGATTTTATATCGCAACAATTTTTCATTTATTGGTAAATATATTGATTTATTTTATATAAATGTAAAGATTTAATTTATATCAATTTCAATTTGGCTAACATTTCACAGTTCAATTTATCCATTGATGTAGTAGGTTGGTTGTGGACGAGGTTGGTGATTCTATCGAAAAAAATATGGTAAAACAATGAATAATGATTTAGGATTTAAATTATTAAAAGTTACATTAAAAATTTTATATAACGGAAAAAATATCATATTTACAATTTATTTATATTTTATAAATTTATTATAAATTATAGTAAAAAAAAAATATTAAACTTTTATAATTTTGTCTGAAATTATTAAATACAATAAATCAAATAATTAAAAAATTTAGATCATTTCACGGATTTCCATCTAATTTATAATATAATGTGACGTTTTGCACAACATGTCGATAGCACTCATAAAACTTGTCTATCTTATTGGCGTTCAAATTATATGAAGTATTACAGTAGCTAATTTGGTCATTTACCTCTTTTAATCACCTTCTTATTAAATACGGAATACATGCCAGTGAGATATGTAATATATATTACACTTATTAAATAACAAAGGAAGTGGTATTTTTAATGGGAAAGACTAATCATATCTCAATTTTGCTTTTGTAGTAGGATAATTAAAACTTTAAATACACATTTAATAACAAATTATATCTAAGTAATTCTCACATGATCATACGAAGTAATTTATTTTTGTTAGTTAAAATTACTTGGTTCCTCTTTTTTTTTTTTTTTTTTTTTTTTTTAAGTTGACGTGTTTCTTTTATTCAATTCATGCTACTGAGGATGTTCTTTATCCTAAAAAAAAATAAAATAAAAAATAAGCTAATTAACAATTATAAAAAGTTCATTTTTTTAAAAATCCACATTTAGAGGACCTAACAACACCCCACATTACTATGATTGTTCTTATTCGTGCTAATAAAACACAAAAGTTAGCAAAACGTAGTGCTCGTTTGGTTCACATGAGAATTAACTTCCCATGGGAATTTATATTTCATGGGAAATTTTTTCCCTTATAATTTTCCTAGGAATAATCTAATCTTTGGTCGGTTCTCCCAAAATAATCCAACCTTTCGATTATTCTTGAATAATCCAACCTTTAGGGGGTATTATCTTTTAACGAATCTAAGTGACCGGTTACCTGAATATCGGGTAATTTTTTTTTTTTCCTTTTTTTTTAAAAAGACCACTAGTCTTTTCTCTCTCTTCCTCCATGACCACTTCTTTCTCTCTCCCCCCTTCATGAACACCTTTCTTCCTCCTTCATCAAGATAATCAAAAACAAACTTCTTCCTATCAACCGAACTAGAGGGTGACACTTCGCGAAACCACTAACCTCACCCCCACCTATACCCAGAAACCCCAACCCCACCTACCCAACGCCGAAATCCCAACCTCACCTCCCTGAACCTTCCCACCACCACCTCTCCTCCCTTATCAAACTCCACTTACTACCTCCCCGTCAAACCTTATTATTTCTTCTCTTCTCTCTCTTTCAATTGAATTTGGGGTTAAATTGGGGCATGTGTCTTCAATTATGAGCTGGAATAAGCAGGGGTTGTTTTTTTTGTTGGTTGTTTGTTGATGGTGTTGCTTGCGGCGCGCAGTCGTGAGTTGTCGGTGGTTGTAAGTCGTTAGTGGGTATTGTTTGCGAATGTGTGGGTTGGTTGTGGTTGTTGTATTGAGTGGTGATGTTGGTGTGTTGAGGTGGTGATGGTCATGGATAGTGTGTTGAGTGGTGTTGGGACAGTGGGAGTTTCTGGGTTGGTTGATGGTGGTGCGGAGGTGGAACGATGGGGTGTTGCTACGGGTTTTGGTGATGGTGGATCAACGGTGGGG